ACACTCGTTTGACGGCTTGCAATGGGCTGACACGCCGTGCTAATCGCGAGCACTTGCCCACGAAGTCCTCCGAGATCTGCACCGAAACAACAAGCGGGCTCATGCAATATCGTGAGGTCAGCGAAGAAGCACGGAGTTGCCAAAAAATATGCTCAACAGCATGGGACTTTGGCATATGTGGAAACAGGCAGCGATTGGAATGATAGGCAGTTGTACTGAGCCGACGGTACGCGTCCAAAAACAAAATGCCGTTCTGGGCGATGCTCGAGGCAGTTCGTGCATCCAACCACACGTCGTGGGCATACAAGTCATGCAAAGCCTTCTGAATGTACACGTTCGCCTCCAGGCAAAGTTGCAAGTAGTCATCTTGAACAGCCCGAAGCTTGGAGGACGCCCAATCAGTGAAAAAGTCTGAGAGGGCCGTTGTCACGTGGCCTTTGCTCCACTGACCGTTCGGAAAGGACCCACGGTCTGGCCAGCCGATATTCTCCTTTGTGAGGTAATTCAAGAACGAGGATCGGTGGGCACGATCGCACCAGTCCAAATATTCATACGTGAGCTGCTCAAAGCGTCCGTCAATAGTGCCTGCTTCTATGAAGTCCGATGCAACTGCAAGAACTCCAGCGACAAAGCACTTCCCAAGTCCCAAGTGATATGCGTGGAACAGATCATATGCATAAAAGGCCGGTTCTTTCCCCGGGATGTAAGGAATTCGAGACAGTTCAGGCGGAGTGGTGAAGGCTGGCTCCTGAAACATCGTGGGATGCCACGCAGGCACTTCATCGCCTTGGTAATTCCTGAAGTTCTCGAATGGCACACCTCTTTGGCCAGCTCGACAAATATGACAAAACCCTTTCGGTTGTGTGTTGGCATTCATCGGACGTTTGATGATGTTTCCAAATCCTCGGGCGAGATTGCCTGCTTTCACGATCCAAGCCCAATCCCCTGTGCAGTGCAATGTCACTGCAAAGAAGGTGTGGCCTTTACTGTTGGTGATCCCTTCCGTCATGAGCTTCACCGCTGAGTCAGAAGCACAACGCAAAAGATCCTGCAGCGCCGCATCGTCATGCGTCATCTTCGGTAACACTCCAGTGAGTAACCGGTGCAAATGTGTGGACCCGGAGTAGTTCAAACCCATGCCGGTGTAAGATTTTGCTTTTCTCAGTTTGTTCGCCAATGTCGTACCGAATCCTAGCACGCAACTCCAGCTCAAAACAAGGAAGGGGCATCTTTTGCGGCCACGGCCTTCGTCGCCGTGAAATAGAAGCGGCGCACATCTGCTGAGGTCTATTTTTTGTTGATCCACCAAAGCCCACATGGCATGTTGTGGCTCATACTCACGATAGTATCGCCAGAAACGAGTGAGAATCGCCCGTTCCCTCGCTTCGTCGGCTGATTGCAAGCCGCAAAAAATGTGCCAAGCGTTAATGTCCAAAATAAATCTGATCCAGCTCTCTAATTTGAGAACGCAAATCTCACCTGCATAGCGGACACCTGGAGCTTTCTGAAGAGTGGACATTTCCACTGGCAACGCAAGTTTCAATCTCTTGCAAAGTCTTTGCCCGTCCCGTTCCGAGTTCTTCTCGGATATGCTGGCAAATTCTCTCAAGCCACCTGATTTAGAGGCTGATTCGCCAATGTCCTTCACAACGCCTTTTGCAGTCCTGATCTGGGCTCTCCATGATGTGGCCTCGGAGCAGTGGGCATTACTTTGTGTGTGGGCAAACGCTGAATGCAGGGGGTGGCCAGTGTATGTGTGCAAACGCTGTGCATGCATACATAGCTGCTATATACAAGGCTGTCTTTAGACACAAGAGCGCGCTTCAAAGCAATTTTTCCACAGACTGGATCGCAGGTAACTCAGTTGGGCCACTGTCCACTGTGAAAAATATACAATTTCATGTCAACCCCTGAGCAAACTTGCGGTTTTCCTCGGCTTTTGGAAGGTTATGTTTTTTGTAAGGTACCATGGCCTGCATGGGTAACACGTGTATATACTGGCATACTTGTGGTTTTGGCAAAGCACATTGGTGTATGTGGTATGAAAAAGATGTTGTCATCACAATTAAACAGTCGATGCTCAGGGGACAGGCTTGATGGCAAAAGATCTATACACAATGTAGCACATGAACATGTCTTCAGAGTTGAAGGGAGCTTTCACATTGTCCCCACCACGGCGAACATTCCGGCACCCCTGAAGTCCTCAGGAAAGTGTGCATTCCAGGTCAAAGTGTTACAAACATAAGCATCAGTATATACAGGAACATTTCACATCTGCACAGCAAATCTCAAGCTCATATCTTTAAGCCATCACAGGTTTTGAAACCAACTTTATACATGATGTCGAGGTTCCACCAAACTTGTCGATCAACGCAGCTTCCAGCATAGCCACACTGAACGGTTCACTAGCTACGTGCAAAATTATCATATGTGTCCATTTGTCTTTGGAAACAGCATAGCCATAGATATCATTCGACCAGCGCCATACAGCATCGTGAGTGAATCCAAGCTTGAAGATAAGAGGGTAGTGCTTCTCAAGTATATTTTGCACTACTGTCGTACAATGGTGAAGAACAGCTCCAGCTGTAGGGTTCACCACCGTAGGGAGCACAAACGAAATGCAGCCAAGCGCTTGGGCCTGGCCAGCCATGCGCTGAAGGCCAGCCCGCTCAGACAAATGGGGTGGCAACACTTGTTCAGTTCTCATCGTTTGGCGTGCACTGGACAGTGGAGCAGCTGGTGATCTCACCCTTTTCGATCCCACTGATTCCACCGTCGGACGTGAAGAGGCATTCGAAGATTGGGACGCTACAGGCCTTGTCCATGGGTAGGGGCACTCAGATTCCTCATTCCATCAGAAAGATTCATGGGATCAGTGGGCAATGATATAGGCAAAGGTTTGTTGAACAAATTTGACCAAATAACTGGTTGCATGCCAAAACTCTGAGCGGTGGCAAGTCAACAGATCCATGAGTTCTTCTTCTGGTGTTTCAGAAGCACCATCGCTTGTAGGAGGCGGCATCGTTTCCAACGGGATTGTTGTGTTGATTTGTGTTGTTCATGGCACGCTTCGGAAGAGCACGTATATATACATGTTTAAAGCTCTTGCACTTTTCATATATAGACTTGAGCGATTGTGACGAGTCTTGTGTGGACACAGTTTGCTACGATCAGCTGCAATCCAATGAAAAAAATCAGTGAAGTCCAGAACTGATGAAGACTGGAAGTATGCTCGCAGCATGCCACATTTGAGGCCCCAGCTCCTTCTCCAATGTCTCCAGCTACGGCTTGTAGAGCTTGTCCAGCACCTGGCCCGATGAGTATATGGGTGTGTATTGCGTATATTTAAGCTGTTGTGATCCTGCGTAGCAGAAACAACTTCTTTTGCATCTTCAGCGTTCCATCGATTTGACTTCAAGCGGATGGGTATCCCCGTGTGGCATGACTCCACTGTCATCCCCACAGAAAGCACCAACACTGTATGCATCATTTGAAAGTCATTTGAAATCATGTTTGAAACATACTTGAAAGCATGTTTGAAACAGCGATGCCACGATATCACCCAGCAAGCTATGATGAAAATTGCTGCAGCTCTATCCCGTGTTACTGGTCACACAGGTTCCTGCAGCATACACATTTAAGGCAAATATGCGAATTGGGTTTCGCATGGATTCATCCATACCCCCAAAGGCCCAACGGATTCTATAGGTCACTTCTTCTCCTTACGCCTTCGCTTTTTGTCGGGGATTTCTGCTTCGCCAGCATCTTCAGCGCGCTTCTCATATTTTTTGCCCATCCTGACAAGGGAAAACCATCATGTTGGTTCTTGAAGGTTATGGTATATATAACAAAGTTACAGAGACTTTCGCCGCAACTCTCAGGCACGATCCGGATCTTGACTTCCGTCGCGCACGCTTTGCTGCAACTCAGGACGGGCTCGGGGCATCAAGTCCAATGTTTATATATATATAATGAAATATGCACGCTGCAGTTCATGATTTGTATATTAAGGTTGGGACACACCTGTAGCGTGCTTCATTTTGGTGTTCGCATTCTTCACCCACCTTGTTTTGCAATTGTTCAAAAGCAGCATCGGGTGAAGTATTCATTGTTGATCCATTGGCATTGGTTGGCCGACAGTTTTTCAACATGCATGTATACATGCGTGATACAAATTCAAAAATAAGGGTGGTACGCTGCGTCGAAGTTGCTGACCTCTCCATTGGCCCACATCTCGTGGCACGAATCGTACTCCATATCGATCTGTCTCAAGCTTTCCTTGAGCTGCGCGAGGTTCCTGAGCGTTGGGCAAGGGTGGATGTACGCGTATATATACATATAATCATATGGAACTGAAATGATTATTGTTGGTCTTTGGGACTGCGAAATACTTGTTTTTCCAAAGCCATCCCGATACAAGGGAAACAAAAACGCAGTGGAGGTACCCCGGAGTGCTCGCTGCTTTGGCATAGTTGTCTTGAAGGTCCCGTATGAGGGCGCGAATACGCCCACTCTTCTGAAGCATGGAGGTCATGAAGCGACTGAACGTTGTCTTCGTCTTTCAGGGTGTAGCAGGGATGCAGGCGAGCCCCCCCAACACACAAAACACGTTACAACTGGTTTCTCTCATATATATATTCATATATACTCCTGACTCCTGTCTTCAAATATATCATGAACTGCGAAGTTTGGAATGGGACTTGGGCAAACACCCCTCCTCCTGTTCCTGGGACGTGTTGCCTTCAGGACTGGTCTTGATGTTTTCCTCCGCCTTCACTCGCTCGCCGGCGGCGTCCAGCTTCGTGAAGGCATTCGGGTCGAGGCTGACAGCGTTTTCCGCCTGTCAGCGGCAGATTGCCTACTGTGTATTTCTCATATAATAATAACATAAAAGCCCATGACATTGTCAGTGGATGGAAAGGGAAAAGTATAACTTTGGAATGTATGCGGCGCACAGTGCAATTCAGAAAGTGATATGGTGAAGCGCTTGGTGCAAGAACGATCGGCGCATCCCAGACAAACAATCGCCTTGGAAACGCTTCTGGAGATCTCCTCTTGCACCCTTGACTCCTCTCTTTGTCCCTTCTCCTTCACGACGACATAGTATTCGATCTCTCCATCGTACGCATTCTTCCTGCCACGCGCAGCAAAGGTGTTAATTGCTGTTGTTGTGGTCGTGGTGGTGATTGTTTGTTCTTGTTGCTGTTGTTACTGCTGCTGGTGTTGTTGTCGTCCTTATTGTCCGTTTGCTTATAGTACATCTCTTTATAATGATGTATATTGTCAACACATGTGGTAAAGCCCGTTTTTCATACCATCCACAACTTGTATTCATGGGATGGGCTCCTGATGTGCGTATCCCTTTTGGCCTCGCAAGCCCGCTTGGCTCCAGAGATGCGGCTCCTTGGTTGAGCGGGCAGGGTCAGCTCTTTATTGTGTGTGTGGGCAAACAAGGTGTGCACACACACTTGGATTTGCATGCGTGTCACATTTCCATTAACTGTAATCGTGTACATCTTGTCACATTGTTTTTCCACGTATATATATAGAAGTGTTTATATATACGTGGAAAGCTGAAGCTTCCAAAAGTCTGGCAACTTTATGGTTCCATGTTGTTACATACAAGGGTCGCAGTCCATCCTCTCTCCTTCATTTCTTTTTCTGTGAGCCATTCCTCATCCACCCACACCGTGATCGCACTTTTCTTGCGAATGATCACCTCTACTGTGTTGATGAACTTCTCCTGCGGAAGCCAACATGGGCAGGACGCTAATCACGTTTCAAGAAAGATTGCTCCGATCGAGAAAACCATTGACAGCTGAAAAAAGAGAACTGGTGCAAGTGAACATTCGACGTGTATATATATAAACACTTGAGCATGCAATCCTTGTCCCAATTGACGTCCATCAGCAACTTTGCCATCGAGTTTTGGTCTCTAGACTTCCAAGCATCTTTCACAAAGTCTGGCACTTCAAGGCCTTTGCGAGATTTGTGTGGAGCAACCATGCGGCGAATGCGAGCCTTTGCTGCCTCCCGCAAGAGCTCCTGCTGCCAGATTGAGCATCGCGGTCAGTGTCATTATATATACGCGTCCAACTTGTCACCACATAGGTGATCACCATTCCCTTCATGCGTTTGATGATGGTGTGTTATGTCCACCGATGTCCACCGTTGCCATCAAGTCTTGACTGTTGCATAAAGCATTGAAAACGAAAGCTGTGATTGAAAAGGTTTTGAGTTGTGTGAACACAAAAGAACGGAAGCTGTTTTTATGGCACTCTTTCATTTGAGGACATGTAGGGAAACAAAGGCTTATACTATATCATCTATGTTCATACTGCATGCACAATCCTTCAAGGCCGAGAAAGGGTCAAACATCACAATCACACACATACAAACATATACACAAACACCCACCCACCCACCCACATATATACACAAGCAGCAGCATCACACAAAATGCATATGTGCAGTACACATGTGTTTTGAATGAACAAGAGATGCTTGGGCCGATTTGTTGAGTGCATGCACATGCAAACAGTGGGTTACAGCTCAAGTCCTGACGCATGCCCTCTCAATCTTTATGTCGCAACCTATAAATATATGTTTGTTTGTATATACTCAACAGGGCCTCCTACACAGAAAACATTTTGCTGTATATATATAACAATAATACTATTACAACATTGTATGCTGACCTGTAACCATAGCTTTCCCATACATCGACACACACACATATATATATGTGTATACATTATAGATATAGAGTTTGTTCATGTCCCTAAAACTGAAACTGAAGCGCCAGGGTCCTGGCGATTTCGCAGCTTCCTCAATTTGGCTGATGATGCAGGCTGAGCAGGATTGGAGGGGGCCTGGCGGGCGCATCGGGCAACATAAGGCACACCAGAAGGGTAAGTGGAGGCCTGCTCAGCAGCGGGGTCTTCCCCATTTGGTGGAACTTCAGCATTGGAACGTGCAGGTGTAGCCACAGCTCGCATAGCCTCCTGGAAAGGCTTTTGAATCGTTGGCAGTGTTTCTTCCAGCGTAAGGGCATGACATATACCCAAATTTAAATCAATGAGGATTTGCAGAGTTGGAAGTCATTCCTGTTCCAATATACAACATGTCCTGCAAAAGAGATAAATTTGGTATTATTGCAAAACGGACAGCCCCCGTCTCCTCATTCGATTCCTTTCCCAAGCAATGACCAGCAGCACGAAGTTGTGACTCTGTTGCCTTCATGGCGAGACGTTGCATTGCAAGAAACATACCTTAAAGGTCATTAAAGTGTTTTCCCATGTTGAATCTCCCATGTCTCACCATGGCCTCTCACACATATGCGACACTTCTTTGGTTCCATACACCGAATATAAAAGAGTTAAAACTTGTTGTGGATGAAATCTGTAAAAATCCTTACAAACCCTTCAGTATATATATATATATCGATTCATTTCATGAAAAAACACAATCACGCCCCAATGCGCGCAAGCCTCCTGCGTTTCAGCCTCCGAAATCAGGATCGATCGGGAATCATGTCCATCACCTTTGCGCTCGGCAGCCTGGCCGGGTGATGTATGGTTGCGGTCCATGGCATTGAGGGGACCACATACATTGAATGATGACTGTCATCCATCACAATAAAATAGTTTATAGAGGGGCATGAAGCAATGTTTCTCAGCTATATAGTTCAATTTGAGCTGGGTGTAGGATGCACCTGCAAAAAAAACAAACAGTTAATGCAGCGGGGGTTGCCCCAATCAAAACTTGTATATATAGAGCTATATACGCGTATATAGAAAAGTGCAGCAGTGATCCGACACTAAACGTGCAAGCCTCGTGCGGAACATCTTGCAGCACCGCGGGCTCCGGAGATGCCAAGTCCAAGGCCTTCCATCTGGTTGGTTGTGCCCCTTAGTATATACAGCTTTAATATATGTATATATAGAGAGAGAGTGAGATGTAGAGAGTGTTCAACCCATGAACATATGGCTTTACCTATATCTTCTATAATGCACACTCTTTCATGCCAAGAACAGACAAACAGAGCAAATGCATAGCACTTCTCGTGGTTCCACATCCCTGGACTTCAGGTATACCAGGTAATTGAATTTCAAAAATACGCCAGATACAATAATGTTCAAACAATCACTCTTTGTTCCTCGATCCATTCCCTATATATATGTACACACACCCAGAAATGCCCACAAACAGAACACGACTTGTCCCAAGAGTGCCTGAAGCTGGCGTTGAAGTTCAAGCTCTTCCTCTTCCAGTTGTTTGGCTTCAGCAGACACATGCTGAACGCCATCTAAAAGAGTACTGCAACTCCAAATCCGAGATGATGTTGGTGCAGTTCGGAGGTCCACAGACATGCCGTGAACGAAACAAAGCTAGCTTTGTTTCAAAGCTCAGAACGCCTACGCTCGTGACCTTGATCCTTCCAAAGTTATATGCAATTCTTTTGGTGAAACCAACTGTGGACACTATATACCAGTCCCAAAACCCACCCGTAGCTTCGAGAAAGAACGTTGGAAGCACAAAACACAAAACCACGTTCAGATGTTCTTTCCAAAGGCCCTTCGATTCCGGTATCGGTGTCTGAATTATGCACAGCGAGACCTGCGCTAGAGGGCTAAAAACCCTTTCTAAAAGCCATCATGGTGGGGCATGAAGAACCCATATTTTTTACGGGTCTCCACGGGTTGCCACGGGTAATCCACGGGTTCGCCACGGGTTTGGAAAACCGAGTTTTTTTTGAAAAGCCGAGGTTTCCAAAAAACGCTACGGTTATCCACGGGTTCTCCACGGTTTGCCACGGGTAATCTACGGGTTCAAGTTTGGAACCTTACTTTTCGGGAGCAGGGGCATCCATTTTGCTTCAAACCCATTCGGCAAAACATAGGAAGTGACAGTTGGGGGCTTCAGAAACAACAAATCCAACCTGTAAGCTCTCCGTGGTGCAGTTGGCAAGATGGCTTTGCAGAATAATTACAGACAAAAGTCTTCAATCCCTGACCCCATGGGACCGATTGAAAGGGCACAACAGAATTCTCACAACACCTTCAATCATATTGACATATGTGATTGATTCTTGGTTTTGATGTCCGCTGATTCTGCATGAAAAAGTCCATTACCAATCCTTTGAACAGGTTCACCTTTGCTACACACCGTATATACAGAGGCACAGATCTTGAGATTAGGAGGGGCAGGGATTAAAGACGCCCATTCGGGAGGAATGACAAGGTTTTTGCCCCTCCTCAAATAGTTATACACGTCTTGAAGACGAGTGTATCCAAGGCCAAACTCTTCGTTTGGCATGGCCATCACAGACTCAGCACCAGGCGGGACATGATCAGGAAGTTGTGGCTGTCCACGTGCCGAAGTGAGAAGTTGAGGCATCATATCAACCATGGCCCTTCCAAATTGTAGTGGGTAGACCCTTAGATTCACATATCACTGATCCCTTAAGGTTTCCAAAAGCAAGAATCAAGTCCAACAGCAGTCAATCTCAGCTTCCCGTCTCCTGAGTTTACTTGAACGAAGAAAAAAGGAGTGGCTGTTCACCAAGATTGACGACGTAGTCTTTACTCCATATCGCTTTTGTTTTTTATATATATGATACAACACTGGAATAAATTTGGTATATACAATTATATAAGATATTATAAGATCAAATATATGGGCGAGATACTCTGTTGAACGCAAGGCAGGTGTTCCTTTGTAGCACTTTTTCCCATCCTTGTTGGTGTAGCTAACTGCTGTCTTGACCTTCCGATCACCTTTCTTCCAGCCCGAAAGAACTCCCTTGTCCAGACTGGATATCCAAGGGCTGTTGGCATATCCATAGTGTCTCTTTGGAGTCCGCGCGCAGTAGTGGCCCATCCACCACTGTGTTCGCGTCACCTCAGCAATCAGGTGTATATATATAACAAGTGCTCCAAAACAGCAAGCAGGATCAAGGTCAGATGTGAGGGAATAAACATCACACAAAAGTGCACTGCCCGTTGCTTTCCCATCCAGTTGTTTTTTTGAAGCTTATGATTGTTGCGTTATTAGCAAAGGTGTGTTTTGTGTTTTCATTCACATATATATAAAGCAGAAACCATATTATGTATATACAGGCATGTGGCTGCACTGGACCCATGGCTCTCGAACAAAGCCATCAAGAAGGTTCTAAAAGTTGGATAGAATTGTAAGCAGCTGGAATTCGGCTGTTCCAGGCCCCACGTTCCTCCAAGAGCCGTGACGAGGGTCAAGAGGAGCACAGTCCTGGGATGGCGTGCGTTGACCGAATGAATGGGGATCAAACCGCTTGTGACAAGAATGCGGCAGGATTCAAAACTTATATACGTACCTTGTGTTGATTGGTGATTCCATTTATAAGCTGGGGTGTTCTGCAGGGTGACTGGAATTAAAACTTGGAAGCCGACCTATATCAATATATGATATATAGAATGGTAAATCGACAAGCAGTACAGCACCAGCGCATGGACACCAATCCATTGTCTTGTGGTCAATGGCGTCGTTTTACCATACCATGTTTTCGTTCAGTGAGCTTCGCACCTATGATGGTTGAACAACTCTATTTGCTTGAAAGTGTCCTTTCCAGAAGGGAATTAGCTTCCAAGACTGATGGGTATTCATCGTAGCCTATTGAACAGCAGTAGCTCCTTTGAGAAGTGCCTTTGTTGATGCCTGTCCAACTGGCACACTTGATCGCAAACATGGCCAGGAATTTGTTGCGGCAGCACTTCAAGATCGTTGCCACAGCCAACCTTCAGGAATTTGGCATATGCAGTGGAGGGTACAGGCGTTTTTGTTCGGTTTTGTTTCCTCCGATCGATCTAAATTTGTTCACATAAAGTTGTTTCAGACTGCTCGTGTGTTCATTTGCCATCGATATATGACTGTGCAAATTAAAGTGTATATATATATATATATTCAAGGCAAGAAGCGCAAAGCCGGAGACACTCAACAAATCCATGGGGTTCGTGTTGTGCGGTTTCCTGGAAGAACCAACCTGGCCACCATAAAGGTAGTCAAGTTTTGCTGCTCGGTAGCCGGACAACCTCATCATTCTAGTCAGGTTCGCCCGTCCAGCGTAGAATTCTACGCAATCAAACTCCTGCAAAGCAGCGTGTCCAAAAAACGATTCGAGGAACCCTTTACAAACCAAGTGTCGAAAGCGTTTGCAAACGCTTGATGGCAAGCGAGCTATATCGTCCTCAGACAAATTGATGGTATCCGTCCATATGACCATCAAAATGATCAGGGCCATGATCTCAGCCGTGTCAAGGCTTGTGAGGCTTTCGGTGCAGGTTTTCCATCTCGAGTTTAACCATTAAACGCACACAAAACAGATCGAAAAAAAGCAGGAAAGATCAATCGAGAGTGGAGCATATATATAGAAGGATTTGTTTCCACAATTCTTGAGGCTCCCACTCGCGGGCATCCAAGAACACGTAATCGGTAAAGGAAAGCATCTAGCTCGGACTGTGTCATCAGCATGACTGGTCCAAGACAAAGCTTCTAAATCGCTGGATCCCCTTGAATCCTTTGAACATGAACCTTCAAAAGGCGGTAGCAAGGCATGAGGTGCGATCTTAAGAGTCTTGCATGACACTTCAACAGCCAAAGCTCTGACTAGCATCCCTATAGTGTACAAAATCAGATTCTGACATCCATGTGACTGTTGAAAGCATTTGCAGTGCTGCAGGACCGATCGATGAAAAAGCTGGAGCGCTCAGAAAACCAGGCCAGTGTTTCGAGCGGGTTTCTTTCGCTTGGATCGCACCTTGAACAATCTCCTTTTGGATGATGGAGGCATCCAGCCTGGCCAGAACAGGGGCAATAACATATATAAACATGTGTTTGAGTCGTGTTTCCTCCCATGCACCCCCGCTGGACCGCTGGAATGACAAAGCTCGAGGATGTGTTTACTTCTTTTGAGACACTTTTTTTTCAACCACAGCTCTTCGGACATGATGTCAGTAGATGGGAGAGACCCCAAATGGATTCGGTGCTTCTTGTGTCACACGAACCTACTGAGCAGGTTTCATGGCTGGAACGTGTACCATCAAAACAACATACATGCAAATGAGAATATAGATTCATATAAAGGTACACACTGTTGTGACATAGCGGCATCATACAAGTTCTGTCAAATCGATACATACAAAAGCATAAAGTATAGGCCGATGCATATTATCAGATCACTCCCTGCTCAGATCTACGCACGTGTATAGGCACATCCCCCCGCACAAAGTATAGATCATGGAGCGAGCTCCATGGTTTCCATCTACATTAAAGATGACCGAACGCTTCCTAAATGCTGTACTCTAAAGGCAGTCTTCGCGCCTATATACAGCAAAGTAACGATAGTCCTCAGGCACGCCCATTCTGGAACAGCTGGTCATACCCATTGTCAAGGCACAGGAAATGCAAGGCCAACTGCCCGTTCACTCGCAGCTTCTCGATCTCATGGCCATCCTTCTCAAAGCCCGGATAGTTCGCATCCAGCCCCATAGCCTATAGAGAAAAGGAGCAGGCTTTCAATCCGTAACTTGATGCCAGTGTAAAGAAGCCATATGTACATGCCCGGGTCCATATATATAGAACAAAAACATATAAGACTTGTGCATGCGGGTGTATAATTGTTCTGAACACGTGCTTATTTAAACTGGCGGCAAGAGTTCCAGAAAGACCTGGACATGTTAACATAAATACCTGGCTCAGTACTTAAGTATTGCAATCCATTGGATCAAGTGTTATATATTTTTCTTCAGCCCTCATTCCAAGGAACCGAAAGCTCAGCGCAACGCACAGCAACAGCCGTTCTGTGACGTGAAGCTGCACGGGACGAGGTCCAGCCGAAGTGATGCATATTGACCTTCTCCCCGTTCTCATCAGGCTTTAAAAATACACCACAGGTACACTTGGTCCAGTAGATGCTCAACTGGGTCTTTTTCAGCGGCTGACAATTGCTCCTCACTTCCTTCTTGAAAGCCTCCAACTGATCAATATCCTCATACTTCACATCATACTGGTTGGCCCAATCCATCAAAGCCTTGATGATCGTGTCAGACCTCAAAACGCTCTCCAGCAAGCTGTCGATGGCAGAGCGGGCCCTTGACTTGGCCTTTGCTTTGGGCTTGCCCTTTGGCTTGGCCGCATTGGCAGTCTTGGACTTCTTTCTCGTTGGCCTTTCAGCCTCATCTTCCTCTTGCTCTTCGGCCTGATCGCCCTGAGGCAGATCAGGAGCCTCAGCCTCTTCAGCATCATCCTTGTCACTCCTTTTGCCGGCCTTCTTGGCCCGTGGCTTGCGCTTGCGTGTATTCTTGGCTTCAGCCTTGGGCTCCTCGGCATGATCATCACCTTTCAGGCCTGCAGCTGCTTCAACAGACTCAAGCGGTTCAGACTTTGGGGATGCCTTAGTTTTCCTTCCACGTCGTGCTTTGGTTGGCCTGGCCTCCAAAGCAACTTCAGGCAGTTCTGCAGGAACATCCTCATCCTGCCAAGCCTTGCTCTTGCTCTTCAAGATCTGGCGCTTGCGGGAGGTCTTTGCCAAAGATGATCCGGCTGATTTGGACTGAGTCTCACCCTTCGCCTTCTTTGATGAGGCTGACTGTCTTGCCTTGCCTTTTCTCTTTCCTGGATTGGTCTTTCGAGTTCCCTTTCCACTTTTGGCTTTGGCCTTGGCCTTGGCCTTAGCCTTTCCCTTCCGGTCATCCTTCTTCGTTTTCTTGGCTCGAAGCTGCTGGTCTCTCGACACAAAATCATCCTTGCGTCCTTGACCTGCTACAGCCTTGGACTCTTCACTGCCATTCGGCTTCTCAGGCTGATCTTCCTTCTCTTGCGCAGGGGTGGCGCAAGCGTCGGTCTTGGGCTTGGCCAGAGTCTCCTCAGGCCACGCACGCTTCGACGTAAAAATGAAAAAACTAAAGTATATATATAGATCGAGAGTATATACCACATCGAGAGTATAAGTTGAGTAAAAGGATAAACAACATATATATAATACGTGTCCCAGCTTGTTCACCCATGGCTCCATGAGTGTACACTGTTCTATATGTACGTACATGTTCATGTTTATAGCCATTGACAGAGAAAAAGCCTGAAGGTTAGCTATATAGTGTTTGGTACAATACACACTCGACCCCCACATGTACGAACCTATATAGTGGGTTGTATTGAAAGAAAGTCATGTGATGTGCAGCATTATAATGATTGATTTGTTTGACAACAAGGGCATTGTTTGACAAAAGGCATATAGTTTGTTTGGAACCATGGCCATATTTTGATGGTTTGTGGCTGTTCACTTTTCAATTTCATATAAACAAATTATGTTTCCTTCTCTCTCTCTCATGTTGAACACTCGCAACCTTTTATCCACAATGGGTGAAACCGCTGTCCTCGATGCCTTCTTCTTCTGCCACAGGTGGAGGAGGAGCAGGCTTGGCAGCCGCCACAGTCGAAGGAGACTCCGAGGGGGCACCAAGAAGGGAAAGAAGCGTAGGCTCACCTGGAGGGTCTTCTTTGCCCGATGCACGTCGGTATTCAGAACGCCGCTCATCCGATGTCAAACCTGGTGAAGATGCGAGTGCAGCCTTTGGAGCAGTAGCAAACTCTTTCAAGCTGGTCTCAACTTCATTCGCGGTCATCGGGAGAGTGTCCACATTGTCCATAGTTGATCCAGTTGATCCTGCATATATATAGAGAGAAACAGAGAAAGAAAGAGAGACAAAGAGAGAGAGAGAGAGAGCCAATTGGGGATTTTCGTGCTGAGGTGACACATATATACGCGGGGTGGGCAAGAAGTGTTTTAATCATTTGTGGATATACCCGCAGGTTTTCTGTGCATATATTTGGTGGTTCAATTGTGAACTCTATATAGTTGTTTTCTTTTAATTCCCTTTCCTTTTTGATTTCAATTTTGAACCCCTGCGCCTGTAGCTGGGATTGCCTTGCCAGCAGCAGCTGTCATTGCATCCTTTTTGGCTTGAATCCTGACGTGTGGGGATGACAGGAAAGGAGTGAACCATTCCCATGCCCCATAAAAACTGAATTGTATCAGAACACATATATTATAGCGTTCAAGTTATATCTATATAATACATATATATACAAACACATCGATCCGCAGTGCATTCCGTGCACCCTTGAATTGCAATCCCTTCAGATTGACGGAAATCAAACAACTGAGCCCTTAACTCTGCTAGCCGCTTCAAGATAAGCTCCCTTTGTTGTTGTTTGCTGGCTTCACCTGCGCAAGAACAAGAGGGAATGCTGGATGATGCTGGATGGCAAAGCTATATATATATATGTTATAGGAACGCCATATAAGTCGGTCATGAGCAAAAGCATTGAGGTCTTGTCGGTTTTTTGTTCATGTGAAACCTTCATTTGCATCTCCATACAACTGAATGGCAAACATGCACAAGCACATGCATGCTCAATTATATGGAGGGTTCAAAGGGTCTTTATATACAGTACATCCAAATGCCCGCCTCCAACCGCTGGAAGATTTTCTTTGGCATGTCCTGACCCCTGTGATACTGATGGAACTTCAGCTGGAACCTCCTTGTTCTCGCTTGCTGGAGCTGCGGCAGGAACCTCACCTGACTCAAGATCCTTTGGCACTTCCACAGTGGCAGCAGCATCATGGACAGGACTGGCAGAAGGGCCGTTTGCAGGGACAACCCCCACACAGGGCACGTTGGCACCCTCCGGGTTGGGGATATCCTTGCCCACCACCTCCTCTGTCACTTCAACATCCGAGTCGCTAGCTGAGTCGTGATCGTAAGCATCGGGGTCTTCCTTGTCCACTCCAGCCTTATATGCAGCGGAAAGGGTTGTGCATTTTAAGAACGAATGGGGGTTGCAAAAAAACAATGGGGATTTATATTTGCACACAACCAATTGTTTGATCCAGTCAATACCCTTATACCTTTTATGTGTGTATATGTATGTAGCTTTGTGTGGACCAAATATATTAAAACAACCCGCATCAGCATGCAAACGTATCTTGATCGAGCTCCTTTTATAGGTGGCTTATAGCCAAGTATACGACTTGCTTGAACGACAACTCTATTCTTTATAACGTTCGCCAGGGGTCTCCCATATATGGTTAATGTTTTATATCAGCTGGCTCCCATTATATGAAATGAAATCCAAGGTGCTTTACGGCGGGCGCGCTTCTCCTCCTGCTTTTTGTTGATCGCATCGACAGCCTCCTGCGAACAACACAATTTAGAATACAGTCCCCCATTTTTAATTGCATCCATTTTTTAACAATCAACTTACATGTTCAGCCCTTGATTGCCCTATACCTTTGAAAAGATCCCAAGATATCCCAAGGGTTGGGAGCAAAAAGTCAAAAAACAACAGCTGTCTCCTGCAGATCTGGCCGGAGGATCAGACAGCACTCCTGAAATCGCGTCGCCTCAGAAAAACAAATTAACAAAAAGGGTCAGGCCATCCATCAATCATGCAAGACTCATGGTCACTTTCAACTCTTTTGTTTTGAGTATATTTAGCCCGGTGCCAAATGTCATTTATATATATATGAGATCAAATGAGCAAAGATAAGACGAATATATAAGCATATATACATACCACCGCAGCATCAATTTCAGTTGTCAGATCTGATGAACTGAGAAAACTTTGCATCCAAATGACAGTGGAGGGTTTTGCTTTCCTGGCCTTCATCTTGACAAGCCCTAAGAACTTCCGCACCATCCAAGAGTCGTGGATGACATCTGTGTCATCACAAGTCCTTGGTTTGGAGCACGCCTTGTAAAGGGAAGCAATTTCATCGCGAAGAGGATCCACTGCTGGTTGCGGGGCTCCAGGGGTGCAAGCCATGCGGGTCAAAAGTGGAACCAGCAAACTAAAGACGTGATCTTGGCACGTGGCCTTCACGCTTTCCTGCGAATTCTCAGGAAACAACACAGCCCCTTCATCCTGCAAATGTGTCCTGATATTTTTTTCATTTTCCCACTCTCCAGCGAGCCCTTCCAAAGGAAGCTTGCCCTTTCCTTCTGCGTCAAGGCTTTGGGATGACATGGCTCGATCGACTTTCAAACCAGGCTTTGCCACCAGCGTGTTTTGGGCCAAAATCTATATATCGATCCAACAATGTGGTCAAGCACTGTTTGCAAATCTATATAGCCTCGACGGCATATATATATATATATGGCCTGAGTCACCATTCCCATGGCCAAACCATTTAACACGACATAATAGCTTTGGCACATTTTGTGTCCTATATACGTTGCCACTCTTTTCAAACATCCTTTGTTTCCACACCCGTGTCCACTGGCAGGACAACAGCTTGTGACGCCTCGTCCAGCATCAGAAAAAAGACCATGGCTGCAGCCGTTGGATTTCTGGTGTGTGCTTCAGGCCCTCTTTCAAAGGGTATAATTGCACATCTTGTGATATAAGCTGGCAGGGTTGTGGGTCCTGTTTGCCACAGCCCGGAGTGATATGAGTCTATCACATGGAGGTATATATGCGATACATGAGCACATGAATCTACATATATAGTGGTGCTGTGGGTGAGCAGCCTCCTCACATATAGCCAAGATGATCCAGGCCTGCATGTACGGACAGAGCAAGACGGCAGGAAGAACACCTTCAAGTGGTTCAATTCTGGTCCATTTCTGGTCCTACAGAAAAAAACCGGGTTTTTTTCGTGAAACCCGAGCTTTCTTCCATGGATGATAGAAAAGCCGAGTTCTTCAGCAGGAACCCACACAAAGTTAGGTTCTTGAAGCTGATGGTACTAAAGTTGTACTACAAAGTCGCCAGTTCTCAGCTTCCACCTCCACAGCTTGCTCCGCTGCATTTCGCGCACTCGGCACGCACGATCTCCGTTTCGCGCACTCGACGCGCACGATCTCCGCAGAGGGTTGCGCGGTAATTGCACAAATCGCGCTCTCGCCTGCGTTTCGCGCACTCGACACGCGCTCTCGCCTGCATTTCGCGCACTCGACACGCACGATCTCCGCAGAGGGTTCTGCGGGCACCCGGCGCGCGGCGCTCTCGCCTGCATTTCGCACACTCGACACGCACGATCTCCGCAGAGGGTTGCCCGCGCAGCCGGCGCGCGGCGCTCTCGCCTGCATTTCGCGCACTCGACACGCACGATCTCCGCAGAGGGTTGCGCGCGCAGCCGGCAAATCGCACTCTCGCCTGCATTTCGCGCACTCGACACGCACGATCTCCGCAGAGGGTTGCGCGGGCAGCCGGCAAATCGCACTCTCGCCTGCATTTCGCGCACTCGACACGCACGATCTCCGCAATTGCACTTTCGGTTGACGCTGTTCGTCCCGCCCTCCGCCTTTAAGAGAGAATTTATAAAGTGGGGAAATGTTTTTTCTTTAGGACATCTCCCGTGCTAGTTTTCCATACTCACACTTGCCTACTCATTGCATGCTTGCATGCTCATTGCATGCTTGCGTACCTACTCATTGCATGCTTGCATGCTCATTGCATGCTTGCGTATACCCATCACTTGCATACTTACACTGCGTGCTTGCCGAGTGTCAGTGTGTATGTGTAAGTGTCAGTGTCGAAGCGTCAGTGTATGTAGTGCGAATGTGGTGGAAGTGTCAGTGTGTAAGTGTAAGTGTCGAAGTGTCAGTGTTCAAGGGATTTTCCGGAAGAACCCTTCGCAGTGCTTTCGGGAAAAAGTCAGTTACTTAGACTCATTTTCCGAGGTACGAACTGAGCCTCCAACGTGCGTCAGCTGCAGGTTTACCTTGGACTGGGGGATTGCGGACACCCCACGAAAAAAGCCAAGTGGAAAAAGGTGAACCTTGATGTTCCAGGACAACAGCTCGGGGATTGAGTTCGGCGGTGGCGCGGCCTACAGGGTGAAAACCTCACGCTTTTTTGCGGGGTTACGGAATCCAGTAGGCTAAGGCCGCTGAGGTCACCTGTGAGGAGCAGTTCGGCCTGAATGTTCCTGCCCATTTGGTCAGTCGTGTGTGCTTCTTTGTGCGTTGCGCTGTAGTAGTATAGGACATAGTAGGACAAGGAATCATTTGCAGGCTACTTTTTGGGGTGCAGCGTCCAGATGTTCAATCCCCAAGCTTCAGACCGCAGGCTAAGGCGAGGAGGTCGTTTATTTATTTTGACCCTTTGAGGTAGGCAAAGGGGTCAAAAAAGCAGCCAACATGGGCATGAATTGGACCCAATGGTGGATTTGACAGGGTCTGAATTGGTGTGATAAGCCTGGAAGATCATTGTTTGAGCTGCTGAATCATTGTATTTTGCTCAGGTTTACTGGCACAGATGTCAGTACAGTTTTGGCTTTGCTGCTTAACATTTTCAGTCCATGTGTGTGAAGAGGAGAGCCTGTCCAAGGCTCAACCATGTTTTTCCTTAGGGATTCAGATGAAGTGATTGGTGTCTTGGGCGTTCATCGACCTTTTCATATATGCTTCAATCCATTGTAAGCAGGGGGGCTTGATGTTTATAAGGGTGTCCTGTCCATGGAAGGCCGTTTGTTCGATGACCTTTGTTTGTTTTGGAATCACTGGTGATGCGTGGGATCTGTGAATGACCTGTGATGTTCTTCATCTACACCCTAGGCCTCCAGTCGCACCTTCGTTTCGAAGGTGCTTGGGGTGGGTGCCAGGAGGGTCTAAATACCTTCTGAGGAGGTACTTGGAGGTGTAGGGATATATAGGGGTTCATCATGGCATGGATCCATGTTGTTAAGCGGGGTCCATACGTCCAAAGAATCGTCCTTCTTATGGATGGATGGAATCAAGTGGTGGAGGAACCCTACAACCTTCCCAAGCCCCCAACTCACGATTTAACACTTTAACTTGAACACCAGACCATCCATTTTCATGGAGCATTCTTAAAATCACCCCAATCAATGTGGGCAAATAGTCCATACTTCCATGGATTGTCAGGGCATGTTGAAGCAGAAGGCATCAGCCCAAAGTTCTGGGGCCCACCCACCCAGTTCTGAGTGATGTTCCGCTGACAGGGGTCGCGACCGTCAGCCTGGCCTTGTTTGTTTTGAAACGCGTTGGGGTCGTGGAGGGGGGCAATGTATTCTTTGATTTGGTGGCCATTCTGAATAGGTCAAGCACCACATCTTTCGGGCGAACTCGTGCACCATGTTCATGTTCATGGCGCCACAAGTTCGCGTGGCTAGCGCAGATCCCCAAGTGTTGGGATTTGTTGGATTGTTGCAACATGAGGGCGAAGACATTGTCCACTGGATTGGTTCCTTTGGATTCCTTGGACTTGTTCGGTGTGAGGCACCGGGTTGGTCGAAGAGAAGCGGGAATTGTATGCTGCGCATGCCCGGCCGGGGGATCCACTGGCACCGAACCTCAGGTTCGGTACGACTGGTGGGCCCGACTGCCTGGCACCGGCACATGCTCCAGTGTCTCCCTGCTCACCGTACTCTCAGAGGGTGCCGGTCGGTCCCAAGTACCTCCTCATAAGGTATATGACTGGACCCTCCAAACCCACCCCAGTCCAACCTTCGAAACGAAGGTACGACCGGAGGCCTAGGGATAGGGATGGTTCATTGCTCACGGACGTGCTCGGGGTCGGACCGACGTGGGGACGTCCCCCGGGGCTGAAGATGTGACCGGTGTGGGTGACGTTGTGGGCGTGGATGATGTGCATAGACCATGATTCTGCACTTCAGTGAGATGATAGGCGGATTCTCAGCTTTGAACAGTTTTCGCTGGTGTGTCGCAGACTACGATAGACAAAAGAGCCGAGACCATGGGTCTACCTGGTGAAACGACACCTTACATCATCAAGTTCCACAAGTCCAGAGTCCAAAGACCCAGCAAAACATGGTCTTTTACCTCCTTAAGTATGGGTTTTGTATGACCATGTCAAAATGAAGTCTTTGACGTATAGGGTTTTGTCTTTTAACCATATGGTCACTGGGCCTGCTGGCATCCACTCCGACCCATTCTACGTCGTGGGGATCACGTGGAGTTTCACGGTTCGGCGATTCGGCCACGTGGGGATCCTCCTCCTTTCTGCCGTGTTGGAGCATGCTAGGTAGATGGAGGTAGAAGATAGAGCTGCGTCAGGTTTTCTTCACATCGTTGGAAGCTGAGGGATAGAGGACGCTACGAACGGAACAAGGTTCGCTACGAACGGGTCTGGCATCGCTACGAACGGAGCAAGGACCTACTTCACGGCGTGAACGGCGGGTCGTTGCGGCGGGGTCGCCGTCGTTCACGACCGCCACTCGCTGCTTTGCAGTCGCTTGCTGCTTCGCCCTCCGTTCCCCTTTGGCTGAAAGAGATGATTTGGGGTCCAGGAGCAGCAGCGACTTGAGGATGAAAGATGTGAAGGGTTTCAAGAATGCTGTTTTTGCACATAGCCTGTCCAAAAAAGACACTCAGAAGATTTTTATTGTTTCCTGAAGGCGCTTGATATGTACATCCGAAGATGCAGATGGAATAGTGGCTGCTCTACAGAAAGGTCTTGAACATTGGGAGCATTCACTTGTCACTGGAGGCCCCTACCGTGGCCTGCGTTGATGCACTAGTTGTTCAAAGAATAAGTTAAAGGTCCTGCCTGGTGAACAAGAAGGATTCCTAATGAGAGAGCTCCTAAAATTTACAGTAAGAGCTCTTATATAATTTCAAATACCTTTTGACCAACACGTATGAGCTACCTATGATATTTTTTAGTTTGTTGATCCATTAGTTCCCAGCAACTCGTTGATCCATGTATCGACTTGGGGGGATTTTACGCAGCGCTCCAAGAGAAAGTAGGTGTAATGGACATCCCTACATTGATATCAATGGGATAATATACTGGATAATATATATATATATATTTGTTTAATATATACCAGCACCTCCAACAGGTCACCAATTGAAACCTGTTAGGGCCTAACAACCCTCCAAAGGAGACCTGTTGGAAGGTGCTGGTATATATATATATATACACACTTTTTAAAAGTCAGTTTTGCTCTTGAGGCCTTGTGGACTTGCAGCACCAACAACATGAATGATGAATTCACGGGCAACCTTGACCCTCTACCTCCGCCAGATGTAGTACTCAGATACGAGCATGCTTCGTGAGGGTTTGGGGACCTCAAGAAAACTCCCCCTGGAGCCAACGTCGCCCTCCGCGTGCGTCGCATGGTGCTCTCCATGTGCTCCGTGCACGGCACCCGGCGGTCCCCCGCATTCGCCGGCTGAGAGGCGAGGCGGGTGTGGTTCCAATTGAAAGTTCAAGCATTACCTGTTGAAGTATGGCTGTTAAATTCAACTGTCAACCAATTCCTATGGTTCCAGTCAAAATTCAACTGTCAACGCCCTGCTGCAACTTTTGCAACCTTTGGCCTGTCTTCAGGCCAGCGCTTCTCATGCCCCTCGTCACACAAACCGTCACAGACGCGGGCGGTTGGGGGTCAACTCCTGGAATAGGAATTGGCTGTGGCTC